CCCCAGTAGCTGGGACTACAGGCGCCCGCCACCTCGCCCAGCTAGTTTTTTGTATTTTTTAGTAGAGACGGGGTTTCACCGTGTCAGCCAGGATGGTCTCGATCTCCTGACCTCGTGATCCGCCCGCCTCGGCCTCCCAAAGTGCTGGGATTACAGGCTTGAGCCACGGCGCCCGGCCAAAAGTTTTTTTAAGTGGTTTATTTGCTTGTTTGTTTTTTTTTGTTGTGTTGTTATGGGTTTTGTTTGTTTTTTGTTTTTTTTTTTGAGACGGAGTCTTGCTCTGTCGCCCGGGCTGGAGTGCAGTGGCCGGATCTCAGCTCACTGCAAGCTCCGCCTCCCAGGTTTATGCCATTCTCCTGCCTCAGCCTCCCGAGTAGCTGGGACTACAGGTGCCCGCCACCTTGCCCGGCTAGTTTTTTGTATTTTTTAGTAGAGACGGGGTTTCACCGTGTTAGCCAGGATGGTCTCCATCTCCTGACCTCGTGATCCGCCCGTCTCGACCTCCCAAAGTGCTGGGATTACAGGCTTGAGCCACCGCGCCGGCCTGATTGTTTTGTTTTGAGACGAAGTCTCTCTCTGTCACCCGGGCTGTAGTGCAGTGGCATGATCTCAGCTCACTGCAACCTCCGCCTCCCAGGTTTAAGCGATTCTCCTGTATCACCCTCCCAAGTAGCTGGGACTACAGGTATGTGCCACCATGCCCAGCTAATTTTTGTATTTTTAGTAGAGACAGGGTTTCTCCGTGTTGGCCAGGCTGGTCTTGAACTCACGATCTGCCTACCTTGGCCTCCCAAAGTGCTGGGATTACAGGTGTGAGCCACTATGCCCAAACGAACCGTGTTAGTTTTTTAAATAACGGTAATACAAATGGGCAAAAAGCTTGTCCCAAGAGAACAGCAATGGAAAGTTGACCTTTTTTTGTAGTTCCTGAGATAAATATCCTTAGAAATGAAGTTCACTTCGAGATCTCTTTAGCTTCTAGGTTTATGCTGGTATTTATAGAGTGAATTATTTATTAGTGCTTTTAATAAGCATTTTGAATGCTATATATGGCAGTATTGTCAAAGTGATTCCCATTCATCAGAACTCAATGGTCTTTACCGTATATCACCTACAAGGGATCTAATTTAATCCTGTTTAGGATTTGACTGGTAAAAGAGAACTATAAAGAGTACTGGTTTTACCTGGATCAATAGATTCAGACTCAAGTAAGGCTTCCTTCAACTAGATATAAAACTTACATGATTTTTATGGCTGCTAAGGACTGGAAGGAAGCTACAAAGAAAATGTGGATTTAACATTTTGGAATAATTTTTATATAAGGTGTGAATTTAGAAGTAGTATTTTCAATTTGTAAGTTACAGGTAACAGAAGAAATGATTAATTTTTAATTTTTTTATTTTTTTTGGAGACAGAGTCTCGCTCTGTCGCCCAGGCTGGAATGCAGGGGCCAGATCTCAGCTCACTGCAAGCTCCACCTCCCGGGTTTACACCATTCTCCTGCCTCAGCCTCCCGAGTAGCTGGGACTACAGGCGCCCGCCACCTTGCCCGGCTAGCTTTTTGTATTTTTTAGTAGAGACGGGGTTTCACCGGGTTAGCCAGGATGGCCTCGATCTCCTGACCTCGTGATCCACCTGTCTCGGCCTCCCAAAATGCTGGGATTACAGGCTTGAGCCACCACGCCTGGCCAAAATGATTAATATTTAAAAGCATGTAGTAGTCTGGGCACGGTGGCTCATGCCTGTAATTCCAGCACTTTGGGAGGCTGAGGTGAGAGGATTGCTTGAGGCTGGGAGTTTGTGACCAGCCTCAGCAACATGGCAAGACTCGGTCTCTACAGAAAATAAATAATAAAAATGAGCTGGGTGTGGTGGTGTGTACCTGTAGTCCTAGCTACTTGGGAGGCTAAGGTGGGAAGATCCCTGGGGCCCAGGAGTTCGAGGCTGCAGTGAGCCATGATCACACCGCTGCACTCCAGTCCAGGTGACAGAACAAGACCCTGTCTCTAAAAAAATTAAAATAAAAAATAACAATGAATTGTAAAATAAACCATGCACTAGAAATACCTCACATGCAGCCACTAGGCTTTTCCAGTACTCTAATCACCCATATGTGCTGCTCTCAATATATTTGGAAAATAACCCATTGATTATGTAGTCATCTGTTTTGCGTACACTTCCGTTTCTTTTTTTTTTGAGATGGAGTCTCGCTCTGTCGCCCAGGCTGGAGTGCAGTGGCACAATCTCAGCTCACTGCAACCTCTGCTTCCCGAGTTCAAGCCATTCTCCTGCCCCAGCCTCCCGAATAGCTGGAATTACAGGCACACACCACCAAGCCCAGCTAATTTTTGTATTTTTAGTACAGACGGGATTTCACCATGTTAGTCAGGCTGGTCTCGAACTGCTGACCTTGTGATCTGCCCGCTTTGGCCTCCCAAAGCGCTGGGATTACAGGCGTGAGCCACCGTGCCCGGTCTCCTTTCATTTTTGATCCTTGTGGTGTTTTTACTACATCTACCTTTTAAGGAGTGATTGTGATCATAATCCAACTCAAAGACCTGTACCATGCTTTTGACATAAAATATTTCTCTTTTTTGCATTGCTTTTTCTCCAAGGGACGTTCTTTAAGGAAATCATTGCTTTTTCACATTCTTTTGGATCTAGAATTATTAAACTCTGCTATGTATCTTCAGTATTGGCAGAGAAAGCATGTCATAGTTGATACGTTGACGTGTATGCCAACATGATCTCAGTCTTGAATTAATTACTTTCTTTCATCAGTTGGTCTAATTATAACTTTTAAACTATTATTATATATACATGCCTCCATTTTTTGAATAACTGCAACAGTTGATATTCTACTGGATGTTATCTAGTCCTCAGAATTTCAAAACAAGAAGGACAATGGAGGTCATGTTGTCCAACCCCTGCTGACGTACACATTAGGAACGGGAAGCACAGACTGGCTCATTTGCCCAGGTCATGCTGTCCAGGCACATGGTCTCTTGATTTCCAGAGCCATGCCCTTTGTACTAAAGCCGGTGGTCTCTCCCATCATCTAGTAGCATTTGTTACAGATGAAACTACATGTCACTTGGTATGCAAAACACACCATGATCAAAATTGTAAATTCATTATCACATATTTTTCTAGGCACATCTGTAGATTCGGGGGAAGTAGAAGAAATAAAAGTAAAATGTGAAATAATAAAGAGGAATAGCAACAGGGAATTAACAAGGAAGTGAGGACTGAGATGCTGACACATGGCGAGTTCCTACTGTGGATTACTGCTCAGCATGCTCTCGCTATTTCTTGGCCGGGTGCAGTGGCACTTCGGGGGACCGAGGTGGGTGGATCACCTGAGCTCAGGAGTTCGAGACCAGCCTGGCCAATGTGGCGAAACCCCGTCTCTACTAAAAAGCACAGACATTAGCTGGGCATGGTGGTGTATGCCTGCAATCCCAGCTACTCGGGAGGCTGAGGCAGGAGAGTCACTTGAACCCGGGAGGCGGAGGTTGCAGTGAGCCAAGATCGTGCCATTGCACTCCAGCCTGGGAAACAAGAGGGAAACTCTGTCTCAAACAAACAAGAAAACATGCTATGGCTATTTCTCTAACTACAGTCACCTGAAGTCAGGACCCACGATAAATCAGTCAGTAGAACCAGTGTTAGTGAGGGTTTTTTTTTTTTTATGTGATTACCTCTTAGTTTTTGTGTCTATTTGTAAATATAAAGAAAAATATTTAGATTCTTAACTTCGAGATGAGATTAGGAAGGGAAACTAGGATGATTTTGGCCAGTCTGAATGTGTTCAATGCAAACCTGCTAGGCAGGTTAAAAGTTTTTCTAGTTAAATGTCTTAGCATCAATACTCCCAAAATATTGTTTCGACTTCCTTCAAGAAGACTTATTCACAGGTGGTTTTCATGTGCTCGCTGGTAGAGCAGCCAACACAGCCTTAGAAACATGCCCTTGAACTCTGATTTTTTTTTTTTTTTTTTTTAAACAGAGTTTCACTCTTGTTGCCCAAGCTGGAGTGCAATGGCGCAATCTCGACTCACTAAAACCTCCTCCTCCCGGGTTCAAGCGATTCTTCTGCCTCAGCCTCCTGAGTAGCTGGGATTACAGGCATACACCACCATGCCCAGCTAATTTTTTTTTTTTTTTCAGTAGGGATGGGGTTTCTCCATGTTGGTCAGGCCAGTCTCAAACTTCCAACCTCAGGTGATCTGCCTGCCTCGGCCTCCCAAAAGTACTGGGATTACAGGCATGAGCCACCGTGCCCGGCCGGTGTTAAATGTTTTAATTTAAACATTTGGACACAGTTTTCCTTGGATTTGAAGCAATAATGCCCTAACTCAGGATGACCACGAGAGAATGGTGGCCTGATAAGAAAAACAGCTCAGTGCTACAAATGAAAGCCACTGAACGGCTGGGGGCAGTGGCTCACACCTGTGATCCCAGCACTTTGGGAGGCCGAGGCATGCAGATCATTTGAGGTCAGGAGTTCAAGACCAGCCTGACCAACATGGTGACACCTCCTGTCTATTAAAAATACAAAAAAAATTAGCCAGGCGTAGTGGCAGGCACCTGTAGTCCCAGCTACTCAGGAGGCTGAGGCAGGAGAATCACTTGAACCCGGGAGGCGGAAGTTGCAGTGAGCTGAGATCATGCCACCGCACTCCAGCCTGGGCAACAGAATGAGACTCCATCTCAAAAAAAAGAAAGCCACTGCATATTTACACATGGTCTGTCCTCTCCAATTAAATAATTCTGTTCTTATTTGCTCTGCCTTTGAGACAAAAGATGAAAAGCTGTGCACGTTTTTAATAACAGTAGCTTCATCACACATGTTGAAAGATTGAAGGAAATGAATTTCAGCTGGGGACATTTTTTTTGTTTGTTTTAAACTTGTAACAAAAGCACTAATGTTATCTTTCATTCCTGATTTCTCAATTATCTTTCTATGTAAAGCTGACATGTCTGCATTTTTATTTTAGGAATCTTTCAAAGAAGTACCAACCTAAAAAGAACTCGAAGGAGGAAGAAGAATACAAGTATGTTTACCATTGAAAATTGTCTTGTAATAGACACATGCCATTGGTGACTACACACAGAAAGGAGAAATACATGTCTATAAAAATAAGTTGCATTTCCCATTCATTTTGTGTCAGTTTTTAAATTGGAGGAGAGAACGATAAAAACATAATTAACTTTTCTTATACGGAGTCACTGGACCTATGCCAGATTGTTTCAATTAAAGTAATTAGGAAAACTTTAGAATGTAATTAAGCAAAAACAGGAAGTATGGAATCTGCATTCCAGAGTCTTGATTTGGTTTGGCACTATCAGGAGTCCCTGTTATGCTAATCATTCACCCAAGAAATATGTCCATTTCAGTCAGTGATTAAGGCATCTTAACACAGACAGCTCAAATACTATATCTCTAATGTATATCTAAATATCCTTTACATTAGTACATGCAGCATGTATATGAATTTTGGATTATATCTTGGCTAAGTATTAAAGCCAAATATTACATTACGCAGAACGGTTCAGTTTTGCAAAATGAAAAGTGTTTCCATTGTAATTAATTCTGAGCCATTTTGATGAGAAGACTCGATGTGTAATGAATACTCAGGATCCTATGGGAGGTGATGCCAATTAACCTGATTTTAATTAATATTTTCTTGGTGTAAAGCAGAATATGAATGAACGTGGCCTTGTGTGAAACGGAGCGGTGTGTGTTCTGTTCCATAGGTATACGTCATGTAAAGCTTTCATTTCCACCCTGAACGAAATGAATGATTATGCGGGGCAGCATGAAGTTATCTCCGAGAACATGGCATCACAGATCATTGTGGACTTGGCACGCTATGTTCAGGAACTGAAACAGGAGAGGAAATCAGTAAGCAAAACTTTATTCTTTTTCTTCCTAGAGGATGGACCAAACACAGTGGGAATATCCCTAGATGATTAAAATTAAATAAAACCATGTAAGACTATGGGTCTTAAACTCACACCTTTGAGAATCATATTAAAGTTATGGACCCCAGCTGGGCGCGGTGGTTCACGCCTGTAATCCCAGGACTTTGGGAGGCCGAGGTTGGCGGATCACAAGGTCAGGAGTTTGAGACCCTGTCTCTATTAAACCCCGTCTCTATTAAAAATACAAAAATTAGCCAGGCGTGGTGGCATGCAGCTGTGATCCCAGCTACTCAGGAGGCTGAGGCAGGAGAAACGCTTGAACCTGGGAGGCGGAGGTTGCAGTGAGCCGAGATTGCGCACCTGCCCTCCAGCCTGGGCAACAGAGCAAGACTCCGTCTCAAACAAAAAAAAAAAAAAAAAAAAGTTACGGACCCTGTTCCTAGAAAGTGTTTCTAGGTCTCTACGTAAAATGTCAAGGGTCCTTCAGACAGTCTGAAACTCATCTGTGGACCCAGGAATATGCATCCCTTTGAGGAATTTAAATATATTTCAGGGTATCAGACATTTAAAAAATAAGTAAGTAATATAATATGGTGTATGCTCTGTGGAATAAACAGTATTAAAATTAGTGTTTATCAGCCAGGCATGGTGGCTCACGCCTGTAATCCCAGCACTTTGGGAGGCCTAGGCAGATGGATCACCTGAGCTTAGGAGTTCGAGAACAGCCTGGCCAGCATGGTGAAACCCCGTCTCTACTAAAAATATAAAAATTAGCTGGGCGTGGTGGCGGGCACCTGTAACCCCAGCTACTAGGGAGTCTGAAGCACAAGAATTGCTTGAATCCAGGAGGCGGAGGTTGCAGTGAGCCGAGATCTCACCATTGCACTCCAGCCTGGATGACGAGCAAAACTTGATCTCCAAAAAAAAAAAAATAGTGCTTATAAGTAGGTCAAAAAACTGGAAAGATGTCCCCAGTTACATCCATTCTGTTACTCAGCTCATTCATTGCTGTCTAATGAAGCACACCTTATTGTTCCTCTTACCACCATTTTCATCTTTTCATAAATAGGTTTTGTTGTTAACCAAAGACAAAAATGAATGCTCAAAGTCTATTCTTAGTCATGATTTTGCCTTAAGGGATTTATCTTTAAGCCATGGTCTATATCATTGTATTTTGATTGCATGTGAAGTGCAGAATAATTTGTTACTAGTAATAAAGTAGCCATGTTGGCCAGTGATAAAGATTTTTTTTTTTTTTTGAGATGGAGTTTTGCTGTTTTGCCCAGGCTCAAGTGAAGTGGTGCAATCTTGACTCCCTGCAACCTCTGCACCCTGGGTTCAAGCGATTCTCCTCCCTCAGTAGCTGAGATTACAGGTGCCCACCGCCATGCCCAGCTAATTTTTTGTATTTTTCGTAGAGATGGGGTTTCACCGTATTGGTCGAGCTGGTCTCAAACTCCTCAGACCACCATGATCCACCCGCCTTGGCCTCCCAAAGTGCTGGGATTATAGGCGTGAGCCACTGCGCCCGGCCACAACAGTTCTTTTAATGCCCTGGGGATGCATGAGCCAACAAGATTGCTATGACTTCTGCTGAAATGGAGGAAACATTAAGTAATAATGACAAAAGTGATTATTTAATTGCAATTATGGTAGTTGCCACAAAGTAAGAGTACAACGTGCTATGAGAGCGTACGATGGGATTGCTGACATGCTCATGCTCTGGGGTCAGGAAGAAGCTTCCCAAGGGACTTTGCAGTTAAGGCCTTAACAAGACTTGAGGGATGATTAGGACCTGCGTGGGACAAGCATTCAATAGAGAGCAGCCAGGGCCCTTGGGCAGGAAAGCATTTGAAAATGTCTCAATTTAGTTCTTTCTAAACTATAAATGTGTAGCATACGGCCTTGGATAGGTTTAAAAGTTAGGAAGAGATAAATGCCTTAAGATCACCCCATTGGTTTAAAACAACAATATGCCAGTAAACTGAGATGAATCTTCATCTGTTGACATTAGCATAATGGTTCTCAACTAGGGACAGTTTTACTCCCTACTCCAGCCACATTTGTCAGTGTTCGGAGACACTTTTGGTTGTCTCAGGGATTGTGGCTAAGGGGTTGCTACTGGTATCTAGAGAGAAGAGGCCAGGGAGGCAGCTAAGCATCCCGCAATACATAGGACAGCTTCACAACAAAGAATGACCTGGCCCGAAATGTCTATAGTGCTGAGTGTGAGAAACCCTGCACTGGAGCCCTAAATTAGATGACAACCTCTGCTGGACCATTCATTAAAGATTTCTTTAGTGACAGAAAGGATGCAGTGAAACAGAATACTAAGGTTCAGAATGAAGTACAAATGTCTAATATAGTGATAAAATAAATACCGGAAATCTTAACATGATCATGGACTGCTTCCCTGGACCCTGAACTTCCCTTGACCTTGCAAAGGTTTATATTTTTTTCCTATTTGTTTCTTTTGTCAATGCTTTGTCTCTTTTTTTTTTTTTTTCAAGACAGAGTCTCACTGTGTTGCCCAGGCTGGAGTGCAGTAGCACAATCTCACCTAAGTGCAACCTCCACCTTCCAGATTCAAGCGATTCTCCTGCCTCAGCCTCCCAAGTAGCTAGGATTACAGGCACATGCCACTATACCCGGCTAATTTTTTGTATTTTTGGTAGAGACAGGGTTTCATCACGTTGGCCAGGCTGGTCTTGCACTCCTGACCTCAAATGATCCACCCGTCTTGGCCTCCCAAACTGCTGGGATTACAAGCGTGAGCCACTGCGCCCCCTCATATTCCTACGCTGTGTTATGACCAAGTTGTTTTGTATTTTATTTACTCACTGTTAATCATGACTTTTTTTATAGTCTGTCATATCTGTATTTTGGATTTAGTTCCTTTTGTTAATCAAAAATTATAGTAATTTATGGAATAAATTATAGGTGGTACATATACACATTAAATATCTTGCAATACATAGTGTTCCTTTTATTTTAAGGAGAACTGCAAGTACAGGTTTCTGAGTCAGATGTTCTGTTGGGAGGAGCTGTAAACATGCTCTTTTGAAATATTCTGTAATTAAATTAAAATGACATTTTAGAAAATCGTGAACCCTTTTGAAACATTAGAAAGAATATCAGTAAACAAATATGTGTATTTGTGCTATTTTATTTTATTTTTTGAATTTATTTTGAGACGGAGCCTCGCTCTGTTGCCCGGGCTGAAATGCAGTCACGCGAACTCGGCTCACTGCAGCCTCTGCCTCCCGGGTTCCAGCAATTCTCCTGCCTCAGCCTCCTCAGTATCTGGGATTACAGGCACCCCCAGCCATGCCTGGCTAATTTTTGTGTTTTTAATAGAGATGGAGTTTCACCATGTTGGCCAGGCTGGTCTCGAAATCCTGAGCTCAGGTGATCCGCCTGCCTCGACCTCCCAAAGTGCTGGGATTATAGGCGTGAGCCACCGCACCTGACCTGTTTGTACTATTTTAATATAATGCCTCATGAGCACTTTTTTTCTTTTTCCTTTTTTCTTTCTTTCTTTCTTTCTTTTCTTGAGACAGGGTCTCATTCTGTTGCCCAGGCTGGAGTGCAGTGGTGAGATCATGGCTCACTGCAGCCTCAACCTCCTAGACTTAAGTGATCTTCCTATCTTAGCCTCCCAAGTAGCTGGGACTATAGGCATGTGCCACTATGCTCAGCCAGTTTTGAAAAATTTTGTAGAGACAAGGTCTTGCTATGTTGCCCTGTCTGGTCTCAAACTGCTGGGTTCAGGTGATTCTCTCACCTCAACCTCCCAAAGTGCTGTGATTATAGGCATAAACCCCCATGCCTGGCCTGTTTTTTCTGTTTTCTAACATAATTGTTGCCATTATTTCTAATGAGTAAATAATGAATTAGCATTGTGGTATACTAATCACTGTAATTTTAAAAATTATTCCAATAATATTGGAGGCCGGGCGTCATGGCTCACACCTGTAGTCCCAGCACTTCAGGAGGCCGAGTGTTTAGCCTCATGCTTGCTATAGATAATAATAGCTAACCTCAATGGGGACTGCTAGTTTTCCAGATTTTACCCAAGATAAGGACCCTAGAGCACAGGAAGGTGAAGTGAGCTGGGCGTGTTGCTCTGTCGAGGGGCTGGGTGTCCCCCAGGCTGCCTCCCTCTCAGGGCAGTGCATGTTTGCAGGCATGGTTTTGTTTCCAGTGAGTTTTTTTCAACATACCTTCAAGGATGCTGGAGTAAACAGTATGAACATCCTCATCTGCAGCTAGCCTTAGAAAAAGAGCTGTTTGGCTGGGCGCGGTGGCTCACGCCTGTAATCCCAGCACTCGGGAGGCTGAGGTACGAGAATCGCTCGAACCTGGGAGGCGGAGGTTGCAGTGAGTTGAGATGGCACCACTACACTCCAGCCTGGGTGACAGAGTGAGACCCTGTCTCAAAAAAAAAAAAAAAGGAAAACGAAGAAAAAGAGCTATTTAAGACCTTCTCGTAATAACCAACATTTCTCCTTTAGAGCTTTTACTTTTTTTTGGCTACCCTGACTTAACTTAGTAAACACTAATTTTTGTAAGGATGAGTCTTAAGAGAACAGTGGAATGCTATCATTTTTGTCTTCTGGTGAGGTTAATTATTGGTGGACATAGCATAACAGAGTTAGAACTCAAATCCAGGTCTTCTGAGGCCAGACTCAGTCACCTTCCCACTGTGCTGTGATGAGGGGCTGACAGCATGCTTCAGGTCTGTCTTAAAAGATGGGGAGAGGCCACGGAAGTTCTGTGTTCACAGAGCTGGAGCCCGCTGCTTGGTGGTGGGCAGAGGAGAGGAAAGGACGCAAGCGTTCCAGGCGACAACCTTGCTCAGGATTCCTGGTAGCCCTGCCCTAGGCAGGTTATGAAAACTCTTTGAGCATCCACTTAGGAATCTGTAAGCTGAGGCTGATCATAGCCACCTTAGGGAGTTGTGGGGACGATTGTGAGAAG